ACCCATAAATTGAGAAACATACCCAAGAGGTTGCTCCATATACACTCTTCTTTAAGCTGTATTTGTTTGCGGTACAAATTTATTTGCACTAATGAAAAACTATGGTAGTGCAAATAATTTGGATGCAATTTTTTATTTATTTTTGTTTCAAATTTTACCTTATTTTGTTTAATTGCAGTACAAATGAAGTAAAATAAGACCTGAAGCAAAATAAAGTAAAATCCAAACAAAATTAAACCAGAATTTGCATTCTTTTCATTTGCATTACCTTGCATTTGTATTAGTGAAAATAAAATTGCACTACAACCAAACACAATATTAGGATCACCATTGAGGAAGGCAGTCTTGATATTGAGCTGAAATAAGGGCCAATCAAAATGAGCTCTAGAGAAATAAGGACCCTGATGAGGGCAATTTAACAAATGGTGAGGTCTTAGAATGGTCAACACCATATATCTACATGAAGCCTTTTGCCACCAGTCATGCCTTAAATCATTCAATGCTTTCATCTTGACAATGTTTCATTGAATACACCCACCGATAATCAACTACATGCTTCCTAGGTGGTAAGGAAGTGAGGTCCCAAGTATGATTGAATTGAAGAGCATGAAGAAAAAAAAGATCTAGAATCTTTGAAGTATTTCTTAGGCAAGAGCTTCCTAAACAAAACAAAGAACAAAGAATGAAGAGAAAAAGACAAACTTTTAATGGGCAAGGGATAAATGAGGAAATGAAGGTAACTAGTATAAGAATGCTTACCCTTTTGAAGAGCAATAGGAAGATCAAGGTCTGACGGTGATGGATCTGTCAATGACTCAGATGAGGGTGGTGGGTCAAAAGGTAGAGTTGGAGATGATGTAGATGTTGATACAAGTTCCTGATAACATCTGGTGTATACTCTATAAATCGATGGTCATATAAGCTCCTCAAGAGTACGGAGGAGAATGAACAAGAATTTAAAAATTCTTCTTGCTAAAATACACAAATGAGAGAGTATAAGAGTTGTTGTCATGAGAATAAGAGTTGTTGTGATAAGAATGAGAGAGGGTAAGTGTATTTATAGGAGTTGAGGATTATTCAATTAACCAAAATACCCTCCTAAATTATTTGTCTATAGTTGTTGGGAGGGATATTTTGGTTTATTATAAAGTTAATTTATCATTATACCAAGATGCCCCCCAAACTAGTTGTTATGTAGTTGTTGGGGCCATTAAAGTCATATGCCCCCAAGGTAAAATATGCAAACGCCCCTGAAACTAGATGTTTATCTATTGAGGGGCATTTCAGTAAATTTGGCCCCATTAAAACCTATTATAGCCATTAGGGGCCCAATGGCTATATTCTTGTAGGCCAACGTGTGTTGATCGGTGTCGGGCCACAATACAAGCCAAGTTGTGCTGGGTTGTAGGCCATGCCAACATGAGCCATTTTCCTAGGTCGTGCCATGCCAACCCATGTGCCTCAAGCATGGTTTAAAGTATTGATACGATACGCTCAAAAGATACGGTCCGAAATGCCTGTTTCCAGGTGTTTCGGACCCCCAATTTTTTTAATAATAAAAAACACGTTTTAAGCTTCCCAAAAATCCAAAATTTGAAAAAAAAAACTAAAAAAAAAAGGTGTTTCAGCCGTTTCTAAGTACTGATATGCGTATCATATCGATACTTTGAACCTTGGCCTCAAGTCCCTCTACCCGACACAGCCCAGTACTATACTACCACATGGGCCATGGCCCCAGTCATGCCAACCCACGAGCAGCCCAGCCCATTTTACAACTCTAAGCTTCTCCTGCAAGCATAGTTGCTACAAAATAGGTAGTCCTTTAAATCTAACAGAAGTAATAATATTTTCTACAACTTTCAAGTGTTCAAGAATCGAAGTTGAAGGAAAAAAAATCCAATTGGGTAAAATCTAATTCAGTATTTTCACAACTTGGTTTAAATTAAACGAACCAACAAAAAAAGTAATTAAGGGAAGAAAATATCAAATTGCCAAGTGTGTACCTCTGACTCCAAGAATTGCTAAGAAAATGGTATATACAATATACAGTAGATTCTTAATAATAATAACAACAGTTAAAGCACAAAGAAAATAGTATATACAGTAATTTTATGTATGAATAGTGTTGACAAACAAAAGTTGAAACTAGGGTTTAGAAGAGAGAAGCAAGAGAAGAGAAGAAGAAGAAGAGATGTGTTGAGATGTGTGTTCTTGTTACTATTCACACCCTCAAAAAAGCTTTATACTGTGGAAAATAGTAAATTACAAGGAAGCCCCTACTTGGGAGCCCAAATACAAAAAGAGTACAAGGAAGAGAAAAAGTTCCAAAAACACCCCTGTCTAAGCAATCTCAACACTCCCCCTCAAGCTGAGCATATATGTCAATCATGCCCAGTTTGTCAAGGTTCTTAGGAAACTTTGGATGGTGGACACCTTTAGTAAGGCAATCAGCTAGTTGGTCTTCTGACCTTACAAAAGGAAGGCAAATCTCTCCGCTATCAACCTTTTCTCTAATGAAGTGTCTATCCACCTCAATATGCTTTATACGATCATGTTGGATAGGATTGTAGGCAATATTTATGGCTGCTTGATTGTCACAATAGTCTCATTGGAATATCTGCTTGGATGCCCATCTCAGTCAATAAAGTCTTCAACCAAAGTAGTTCAGACACTCCATGAGCCATTGCCCTATACTCTGCCTCAGCACTAGAACGAGCAACCACAAATTGTTTCTTACTTCTCCATGAAACCACATTGCCTCCCACAAAGGCATAATAACCAGATTGAGATCTTCTATCATCAATGGACCCTGTCCAAGCCGTGATTGGATTACAACATCCCTTTACCAGGGCATCCTTTCAGGTAGGCTAAAATTCGGTTAACTGCTTGCATATGAAATGTCCCAGGTTCATGCATATATTGGCTAACCACTCCAACAGCATAGGATATGTCAGGTCTAGTCAAGCAGAGATACAGAAGGCGACCTACCAATCTCTGATATATCCCCCTATCTAGAAGAACTTCTCCTTCAGTGGAACTCAACTTGTGGTTAGGATCAATTGGAGTTTCTGCAGGCTTACACCCTAATTTCCCAACTTCATGAAGCAAATCAAGTACATAATTCCTTTGTGACAGAAAAATTCCCTTCTTGGATCTTGCAACTTCAATGCCAAGAAAATATCGAAGATTACCAAGGTCCTAAATCTCAAATTCAGAAGCGATGAAGGACTTTAATTGAGAGATACATGTGATATCATCACCTATCACAACAATGTCATCAACATATACTATCAACATTGTTACTCTACAATCAACTCTTCTAATGAATAAGGTGTGGTCAACTTGAGACTGAGCAAACCCAATCTTTAAGATAACATTTCTGAACTTGTCAAACCAGGCTCTCGGGGACTGTTTGAGCACATCCAAAGACTTCTTAAGGTGACAGACTTTTCCATCACTGTTAGGAAAGCTTACCCCAGGTGGTAAGTCCATATACACTTCCTCTTGTAAGTCCCCATTAAGGAAGGCATTCTTTACATCCATTTGATATAAGGCTAAGAGTAATGGGCAGCAAGAGATAGGATCACACAAATAGAGTTCGTTTTAACAAGTGGAGCAAATGTTTCTAGATAATCAATGCCATAAGTTTGAGTGTATCCTTTGGCTACAAGTCGAGTTTTGTACCTATTAATCGAGCCATCTGCCTTGTGCTTAACAGTATAAACCCACTTACACCCAACAGGAATCTTATCTTTAGGGTAAGGAACAACCTCCCAAGTCAGGTTCTTTATTAGGGCCTCCATTTCTTGGTTCATAGCTTCCTTCCAGTGAGGGGATTGCATTGCCTCTATAACACTATGAGGGATGGAAACAGAAGAGATGGCAGAAATATAAGCACAATAGGAAGGTGAGAGAGCATAATAAGACACATAATTAGTAATAGAATACTTGCTACATGTCATCTTCCCTTTTCGAATGGCAATAGGAAGATCAAAGTCAAAATCAATAATGGGATTGTCAGAAGCTTCAAGATCACCTGAGTCTGGGGAATTAGATTGTGATGGGCATTTAGCTTCAAGACCACCCTCTTACTGCGCCTGCTGAAAAACTATTGCCAGGACCGAGGTCGATACATAGGAGGAGGAGGAGGAGAAGGAATACCATCGTTATAAAGAAAAGAGGGAGGAACAGGAAGGTAGAAGGGAGTCCGATCTTCACTCACATTCTCCCCGTTAAGAGGACAGGATGAGTGGAAAAAGGAAGAGGACTCCAAAAATGTAATATCTTTAGAGACATATCTTTTGCCAGATAAAGCATCAAAGCATCTATAGCCTTTCTGGACTGGAGAGTAACCAAGGAATACACATTTAACTGATTTAGGATCAAACTTACGCTGGGAAGGACTCATATCATGAACAAAACAAACACAACCAAAGATCTTAAGGGGTAGATTAAAAGGAGGTTCATTGGGGAAGAGAAGTTGATGAGGAGAATGAAGGTTTAAGACCCTTAACGGGAGTCTATTAATAAGATACACAGCTGTCTCAACAGGATCACCCTAGAAACGAGTAGGAACATGAATTTGAAACAGTAGACCACAAGCAACTTCAACGACATGCCTGTTCTTCCTTTCAGCCACCCCATTTTGTTGTGGAGTATGACTACATGAACTTTGGTGAATAATACCCCAATCTTCAAGAAATCTATGCAACTAATGTTCAAAGTATTCTTTGGCATTGTCAGATCTTATTATCTTCACTCTTTTCTCAAACTGTCTCTACCATATTCATGAAGTTTTAAATAACCATAGGAACTCCATCCCAACTTTTCATCAAGTAAAGCCATGTATACCGACTGTAGTCATCAATGAAGAGGATGAAATATTTATACCCACCCATCCAAGAGATAGCACATGGGCCCCAAACATCAGTATGGATCAAATGGAAAGCAACATTACTTCTTTTACTACTTGCAAAATATGTAGTTCTACATTGTTTGGACAGATGACAAAATTCACATTCAAAATTCAACTTTGGCACAGAGTCAAACAAGTTTGGAAACAAAAGTTTTACAGAATTGAAAGACATATGACCAAGATGACAATGCCATAATTTCAAAAGACTCATTTTTTCATTTGAACAAAACTCAGTTTGGCTTGACAGTCAATGCTTTGAAGGTCCATCAAAGAGGTAGACTCCAACTTCATGCCCACTTCCAATCATCTTCCCCGTGCTCAAGTCCTGAAAAACACAATGGGTAGGAAAAAAAAGTCACTGAGCAATTTATGGGATTTCATAAGAGAACTAACAGACAACAAATTTTTATGTAGTTGGGGCACATGAAGAGCAGATCCAAGAGAAAGGTTATGAGTGAGTTTGACTTCACCCTGACCCAAAATAGGGGTCTAAGATCCATCAGCAACAGTAATCTTGCCCTTCCCTGGGGTTAACTTAGGGGTGATCATAGGCTGGGCCCGGGCCGAGCTTTACACTTATGATAAGGGCTACAGCTTAGGCCCAGGCCCGACCCAACCCGAGGTTCCGGGCCGGAAACATAAGCCCTAGCCAGGTCTATATGGGCCTAAGATGGGCCAGGCCTGATTCTAGGCCAATGTCACTCATATATAAAACATTACATATCTATAATATTTTATATTAAATGACATACCATGCACATAAACTTATTTTATACATTATATAATATAAAATATTACATACAATATAAATTATACATGTCATGTTATAATATTTATATATAAAATATATAATATAATGTAAAATAACATGTATACATGTATACATTATACACAAAACGTGTTAATTTAAATATATGCGGGTCAGCCCGGGCCTAGGCAAGGCTTGAAGTACTAAGCCCACGCCTGACCCTAAAATTTGCGGGCCTGATGTGGGCCCAGGCCCAGCCGGGCCTGAACACAAAACCCAGGCCCAAGCCCGGAATTTTTGGGCCGGGCTGAAATGATCACCCCTAGGTAACTTATATGAGGTAAAATGTGGGGGTATACTAATCATATGGGCACTAGCCCCAGAGTCTACAATCCATGAGCTAAAAGATGTGGAACAAACAAGTGTAGTACCTGTTTTGGCATATGAACTAGATGGATTACTAGGTCCAGAACCAGATGAGGAGGTTGTACCACCCTTTTCAAGCTGCAACAATATATTCCTAAGTTTGTCCATTACGTCAAAAGAATCAAGCACATCAGAAGGTTGAACACCATTACCAACTGTAGCCAAGTGAACATTTCCCTTCTTCCTGATTTTGTACTTTTCTGGCTTTAAATGAGGATTGACCTTCCAACACCTTTCCTTGGTGTGTCTTGGCTTCTTGCAATAATCACAAATAAAACATATCCTCAGCCTTCTCAGTAATAGGGTGCTTGCTAGTATTTTGCTTGGGTCGAGATGACATAAAAGCAGAGTGATCAATCATAGGAGGTTGCATCATGGCGGTCCTTCGACTTTCTTCCCCTTGTACAAGGGAGTAAGCGGAAGCAAGAGATGTGTTGTCTGGTAAAATTAAACTCTAGATTTAAGAATGTGTTGCCTGGTAAAATTAAACTCTAGATTTAAGCTAGCCAAGAAATCAAAGACTCTATTATCTTCTATGTACTTCCAATATTGCTCACCATCTTCAGGGTCCTTCCATACGAGTGCTTTCAAGTGATCCATTTCTTCCCAAATAGATTGTAGAGAAGATAAATACATAGCCACATATCTCTCCCCTTGACGCATACTACAAGCTTCCCTCCAAAGCTGGTACACTCTAGCTGTATTGTTAACTTGGGAATAAGTGGCAACAACTCTATCCCAAATATCCTTGGCCGTTGAAAGAAACATGTAGTTTCGGGCAATATGAGGTTGCATTGAGCAAATCATCCATGACATAACAAGGGAGTTATCTTGTTCCCACTTTACAAATTTCGGGTCTTCAAGGTTTGGCTTCACCTCCTTTCCTGTGATGAATCCTAGTTTACCACTCCCAGTAATGGTAAGTTTAGCAGATTGAGACCACTCTAAAAAATTGGTTCGATCAAGTTTAAATATAGTTATCATCCCACTAACAATATCTACACTTCCCGGGAACACACTGGAAACCATCTGAACATCCTTAGATGATTCCATATTCTATCAAAACACTTTCTCACCAACCAAAAAAGACCCCCAATATTTAACCAAAGCCACTGACCCAAGAACCAAGGTCACCACACGGTTAAGATACAAAAGGAGGCCAAAAAACCAAATTGGCAGCAAAATAAAGGGAGAAAAAAACACCGAAAAATTATACAGGGCTCAGAAAATTACAGGACCACTTTCTATCATTCCCAAAGAGTAAAATGACTTGAATGGTCTAGGTTTAACAGAAGAAGAAGCCATTAAACATGATGTACAAGGCTCGACATCAGATCTAAAATTTCTGCGATTTTCTCCTTGAAAAAATCACTAAAATCATAGAAGCTTCAAATGAGGGCAAGAGTCATACCAAAATTCATCTAAAATCAGGGCGAATCAAACCAGGTAAGTTTCATTGACTGCCACCGACACTTGTACAGACTGCTGACGTCATCCGGCAGCAGTCTAACGTTAGCAATTCACCTCGTGAGAGAAGATCAGTAGGAGAGTTACTCCCAAGTTCCCTTACCCGCTCTGATACCAAGTTGACAAACAAAAGTTGAAACTAGGGTTTAGAAGAGAGAAGCAAGAGGAGAGAAGAAGAAGAAGAAGAAGATGTGTTGAGAGGTGTGTTCTTGTTACTGTTCACACCCTCAAAAAAACTTTATACTTGGAAGATAGTAAATTACAAGGAAGCCCCTACTTGGGAGCCCAAATACAAAAAGAGTACAAGGAAGAGAAAAAGTTCCAAAAACACCCCTGTCTAAGCAATCTCAACAAATAGTATTGATCTCCTAACAAGTAGCTCCAAACCTACAAGAAAGAAACCATAATAATGGTTCTTTTCATGCCACCAACAGTTATTTGTTATCCTATTTTTCTATGCACCATCTGCTTTGGTCAGTGCAAACTAAAAATCAGTTAGGGACAATACTAATATGTTAAAGGATCTAGATTAGTTGCAAAGGAAACTGATTTCTCCCAAATTCATGATTTATTTACAAAAGCTAACCTGTTTCTGATGGCTCAGGTGTATTCAAGCTTAAGGAGATGGGTAATTCCTCTATACTGACAAGACTTGAAAACTATAATTTCTGTTTCCATTTTTGGGAACTATTTTCCTTGCTTCCCCTTGTGGTTCTGCTGTATGAGTAACCCACACAAACTAAAGAAGATCAAATATAGAATTGAATGTCTACCTAGGTGATCAGGAGAAATTAACTTACAATTTTATACTTCATGAAAAATAGAACTTAAGTCAACTCCTAACAAATGTGGTTTAGAATACTTACATGGAATCCAAGCAAAATGGACCTCCTGATAAAAGCTCAGTTTGGCTTGCATTGAAAGCTGATTTTGTGTAATACAGCACAGTTGACCTCTCAGCTGAATAGACTATTTTCTTTAGATAAGTTGCTCAATGACTGAAAGATTAATGGATCATCACCAGTATTCACCACAAGAGCAACTGCCATTTTTAAAGCAGTGGAACCGATTGGCATCTCTGATGATTATTTTTCTGTTAGTGACCATTGATATGAGTTTTATGGCACAGTGGCAGTCGTCACACATCCGAAGGTTCTTAATGACACGAATTGGTCCTCCTATAGGTGCAATCATAAGTCCATATGCTACAGCCAGCTTTTCACTGTGATAACTGAGATACTCTTCCTTCTGTTCATCCTCCACGTCATGCAGCACAGTGTCAATTCTGGGCACATAACCTAATGGTTTTATCAGTGACAGTAGCTCACTAACTTTTTCATGTATCTGACTTGAATGGGGGTGTTTCTTGTCTTCTGAAACAAAGACATGGATGTTATTTCTTATCTCTATCCAGCTCACCCCTGGTTCTTTCTTAATGTTTCTTCCCCTCATCAACTTCCTAATCTTTGCAACTCCATCCCACCTCCTTGCCTTGGCATACATATTCGATAACAAGATATATGTCCCCACATCATCAGGATCCAACTCTAGGATAGTCTCTGCTACTTTCTTTCCCAGACCAAAGTTTCCTTGGATATGGCAAGCATTGAGCAAGGTACGCCATGCAACAACATCCCATTTGACTGGTGTAGACCTCATGAAACTCTCAGCTTCCTTGAGTAGCCCTGCCCTACACAGAAGCCCAACAATGCAAGTATAATGCTCCACCCCTGGTGTGACCCCAGTGCCTTTCATTATCTGATTCAAATAGTAGAACCCCTTGTCAACAAGGCCCAAATGGCCACAAGCAGATAAAACTCCAACAAAAGTTACATAATTAGGTGCTTCTTCAGCTGCCAACATATTTTGAAAGACTTCCAAAGCTTCTCTACCAAGTCCATGATGGGAGTAGCCAGATATCATTGAATTCCATGTAATGATGTCACGGTAAGTCATATCCGAAAAGACTTGATGCCCAGATTCAACATCACCACTCTTGGAATACATGTTGATCAAGGCATTCCCGATGATAACATAATCACTAAGTCCTGATTTCTTTATGCGTGCATTTAATACATCTCCGTGCCTCAGTGAAGACAACTCTGCACATGAATTCAATATAACAGCATATGTGCATTCATTGGGAAGAACACCTTTACGCTCCATCTGGATAAACAGATTAAATGCTTCCTCAAAGCAACCGTTCTGGATATAAGCATCCATGATAGCTGTCCATGAGACCACATTGTGGTTGCATAGCCCATCAAAAACATTTCTTGCACTGAATATCTTACCACATTTCCCGTACATGTCTATAATTGCACTACAAATGAAGACATCAAGCTTAAGACCAGTCCTGAATATCCGATTGTGGATTTGCAACCCCAAGTTTAAATCTTTCAAATGTTTGCAGAGATTAATAACAGTAACATATGTGATATTGTCCCACACGACAGGCTCACTCACCATCTTAATTAAAACTTCCAATGCTTTATTCAGATACCCGTGTTCTAAAAGCCCATGGATCATTGAATTATAGGAAAGAATATCTGATCCCGACACGGTCTCGAAAACCTCAAAAGCCCCTTGCACATCTGAACAACTTGAGTACATATATAGAAGAGCATTTTTAACATATGAGTAAGATAACAATCCAGACTTCAATACATAACAGTGGCACTGTTTTCCCTCTTCAAGTGCTCTGATATCAGAACATGAAGAAATAACAGTGGTAAATATATACTCATTGGGTTGCAGAGTTCCATCCAAATTCATTGTCTTAAATAGTCTAAGAACTTCAGAAGATAACCCACTATGGAGATAACCCGCCATCAGAGAACTCCAAGAAACTAGGTTTCTTTCGAGCATTCGGTCAAACAGTTGACAGGCTAATGACATTTGTCTGCATTTTGCATAATGATTGATCAAACTGTTGGATTGAATTACGACGTCTTCAATGCTTTCAGCTGATCTCTTGATCAACTGACCATGGAGAACTTTACCCAATTTCAAGTTCCTTGTATCAGCAGATACTTTCAGCAGATATTTAGTCTTTTCAAGAGTGCAAGAGTGTGATATGGGTCTCGGACGTGCATGGATGGACATGAACTGTACTTTGAACATTTAATCGACAGAAAGGGTGCAACCTTCATCATGCTTGCCTATGTGCCATGCTTTCAGTAATTAGATCAAACATTAATTCACTAAAATGCCCCTATATGTATTCTTTGTCGCCTTCTCATTGGCTGTCCATGAAGATTTGCTCTATGACTGGAAAAAGAAAGAAAAAACAAATGTAATTCTCAGAAAGTCAAGTAGAAAAGAAAAGAGAGATTCAGATTTCTTCTCTGAATCCCTCCAAAAGCTTAAAGAAGGGTCTGAACTTGAAGATGTACGTACTTGGGTAGAAAGAAACTAGGGGTAAGATGTACGTGCTTGGCAATTTGATATTTTCTTCCCTTTCTTAATTACTTTCGTCGTTGGTTCGTTTGGTTTAAACCAACATCCGAGAAAAAAAAAAAAAAAAAAAAACAGAATAAGATTTCCTCAGTTTCATTTTATTTCGGGGATTCTATTAAACCCAATAGGGTTTCGATTTAGTTCTGTGTGAAATTCGCATAGACTGTAGCTCTTGTTCTACAGAGTTGAGGCGTAATGGGGCCCAGCATCCATGTACATATAAAAGTTATTTTTAGTATTCATCAATTAAATATTACATAATATTAAAACTACCCTTCTTCTCGTATATGTTCAGACTGTTTTGTTATTTTGCTCTTCCATAATTTCCATGAATATATAGAAGAAAAGGACCAACCTTTATGTTCGTTGGAGGCATTGTGATATTCCTGCTCCAACTCCGGCACTGAGTGAAGTTCTACCTCTGTATCAGCTGCGGCCTCAGTGTCCATTGTGATGTCTCCAGTAGAAACTCCATCCTTCACATCAGGGTACCCAACGACGACTATAGGACAGATACAGAGATGCATGCAATCATCACTGAAACTGCCAAGGCGTCCGTCCGTTAGTGGTGCGCTTCGAGGCATTGAACGCTCAGTGGTGACGAGATCAACTTAGATAAAGTTTTAGAGCCCCACACTAAAAATTTCATTGAATTTATTCCAATTCCAAAGTCCGAAAAAACCTCCCACCGGCCCACCCTCCACCGTTGTAAACCAGATTAATCAGATTAAGGCCGCATTTGGCAAGTCTTTTTGCGTCGGCTTCAGGCTGTTTAGAAGTCCGGAAGCCTAAATTCTGGGCTTTTCTCATTTGATAATAGTTTATGTACTCACTTAACCTCTTAACCTACTGCTCAGTTGATTCTCTTTGTATGGCATGGGACCCAAACATTAATCTATACATCAACCACATGGGTTCAGCCCAGCCTTTGTTATAAGGCCTAACCGAATTCACTGTAGGAGACAATGAACCCCTGAGTCCATAGTGATGGACTCTAAATGGGCCCAACATTTACACTAAATGGTCATTGGGTCCAACCACCTTATGAAAGTCCAAGAACTGTGGGCACATGCAAGATTAACCCATCAGGTATTACCCTCAATAGTCTTACACTTAACCTCTCAGCCCATAATGATCAAATATTGCCCGACAAGAGATGACCTTTCTCTCAGCTGCAAGGTACAATGCTGCACTCTCTATTCATATGGATTCGGGAATTAAAACATTTTGCAAATATTTTGAACCATAATATATATTGTATATCTCTATATAAATATATTTTGCAAAAACAAATTTCAACGATTAAAATCAATTGCCAGCAGTTTAGGTTTCCATCAGAGATAGTGCATCCCTGGTCATTCACTTTGCCCGACAAAGGGGTTAATCCTGTCACTATGATCACCCACTCAGATGAATTCTCGAACTGTCCCAACATACCCAAGTTTTGACCCCCTCTAAGGATCTCACTGATTGGCATATCAAAGACAGCCTGACCTGACACCTAGTGCAGTACCATAATCGAGTCTAGGGGTCAGGTGTAAAATCCAGTTTTGCCCATCTATCTCCAAGGTCTAGGGCAATACTGAAATTTTGGTCCGGTTCAGGGTTTCAAGAAAACCCACACTGCATGTACCTCAGGTCTCACCCTGGCAGCTGAGACAAGTCACCCCAACCAACTTGGCGGCACATCAGTGTCAGCCTTGGTAGGATAAATCTCCCCAGATCTATCCAACGGCTGTGAAGATTCTAAACTAACACGAGTCTCATAAGTTTCCAGTTTAATGATATTACACAAAAGCACACCACAATGACATGAATCAATTATGTACTTTATTCATTTACAATAAATATCAAAAGATACATCAATCTGATTGGAGCTAAGGGCATAACTGTCTAACACCTTTTCTTCTATGTTCTGCTGTTTTGTCCTCCATTCTAAATAAAAAAGTTGATAGAGATGAGCTTTCTAGTACCAAAATCTACAAAAGGGCCCCAACTGTTTCTCGTTTAGTTTTTGTAGATGATAGTTATATTTTCTCAAAGGCTGATTTTAGAGAAGCAAACTCTTTGTTGGAGGCCATTTCTGTATTTGAAAAAGCTTACGGGCAGCAGATGAATTATCAAAAGTCTGAAGTTTTCTTTAGTAAAAATATGCACCCCGAATTAAAAAAAAAAAAAAAAAAAAAAAAACATATCTTCAAGTATTTGCACATTAAAAAAGTGGAAACCCCTTCAATCTATTTGGGTTCAAAACCCTTATAGGCAGGAACAAGATGCAAACTTTTGGTCATTTGGCAGAGAGTTTCAAATAAGGCCAAAGGTTGGAAAGGTACCCTACTATCACAAGCAAGGAAGGAAATTCTCATAAAATCTGTCATTACTATTATTCCCTCATACTGTATGTCCTATTTTCTCATTCCAAAGGGAATTTGTAAGATCATGGTAGGCTACCAAAAAAGATTTTGGTGGGGGATAATGAAAATAAGAAAAAGGTAAGATGGATTAATTGGAATCGGGTTAGCAAAAACAAATTAAATGGGGTCTAGGCTTTAGGGACCCCATTCCTTTAATCTAGCTCTGCTAGCCAAATTAGTTTGGAGGCTGTGCTTGGATTCTTCTAGTATGTGGGCTAGAGTTTTGAAAGCAAAATATTATCCTGAGTCAAACTTTCTCCTAGCCCCCTAGAGAAGCAATGCCTCTTGTGGTTGGAGAAGTATCCTGGCTGACAAAAAGATTATAGAAGGAAAAGTGTTTTGGAAAATAAGTAGTGGCCAATAAGTGAAAATATGGGATGACCCTTGGATCCTAGACCAAAATAAAAGGTCTTTGAAACCAGTAAAGGTCTTTGAACTTATAGACCAAAATAGAAGGAAATGGGATGAAAATAAGATTCTTAATATGTTTAGTCCAGCTATAGCTCAAAAAATTCTAAATTTGGAGCTATCTGTTAATCAATGACCGAACAAGTTGATTTGGACTAGAAGTAAAAATGGCAAATTCTCAACCTGATGGAGGGTGATTTGGCCTGACATCGTAGCACGGGGACACGTTGACACAACCTTGCATAAGTGACAACTCAGCGTGACAGCCTGGCCATAACTCGGCGTAACGAACTCGTCGGAGCCCGGTCGGACAACTCGGTGGATGTGGCAACTCGTCGGGAAGTAACATCCAGCTTACCCCGAATTCTCTCTAAGCGAGGAGTCCCGAKCTCTTCCTAAGACCCGAGCTCCTCCCAGTGAGCCCCGAACTCTTCCTTCCTGAGAAGGGAACACCCCGATCTGCGGCTAAGTATTCCAAATTGGAAACACTTCAGGTAAACACCATTAACACTCTTGTCCATACTTGCCTAAGGCTCGCCTCAAGCATGAGCACCTTGGCACACCCCTAGCACCTCGGTGTAAGGTAGCTCAGCCCAAGGTAGCTCGATGCAAAGTAGCTCGACAACCTATAGGAAAGATCTACTTGACAGCAGTACCTGCCGAATCTGGAGGTTGCGCCAACGTCCCTCGTCAGGCAACGTCGTGCCCTGCCATTTCTGCAAGATGTGGCACGCTTGACAGGTCCGTACCCTGCAACAGGTGCCTACATCCGCCACCTCGGCTCTGGCAGTAACGGCCGCGGCAGAGGCGGTTACGCCTGATTTGACAGATCTCCAATATAAAAGGACCCCGATCCCCAAGGAGAAAAGGTACTGAACTTGCGCCTTCGGCACTCTTAGCTCTCTCTTTACATTCTCTACAGTTCTCTCAGAGTTCTAACTTAAGCATCGGAGTGTTCCTGCCGGGCGAGCTCCCCGGGAATTCTTCACCTTCCTCTTCATCTCAGGTACCGTCCATCACCAGCTAGGAGCTAGGTTTCTACCAGCAAGGAGTGCCTAGATCGCGCTACATCATTTGGCGTCGTCTGTGGGAATCACTTCAAAAAGCCTTCCTCCAATCTCTGCAACTCTCAGAACTCAGCATCCATGGCTTCCTCCAGCAATGCTGGACGAGGTGCAAACCAAAACACCTCTGAGGAGCAACCCCAAGCTTCCCACTGTCTGCATTGGACAGTTCACCGTCCCCCTCTCTGCGGACGGAGTTCCCAGCCTGAATGTGCCTTAGACAGTGGCACCTGTGAACCTTCCACTTCCTTCCACGATTGGAACAACCTTCACTGAACCCTCCATTGTTCCTCCGATGGCCAGCCAAAACCAGCTTGAAGACTTGATGCAATGCATGCGAGCTATGCAAGGTCAAATGCAACAGTTCCAACAATTTCAACTCTATCAGAAACAAGTGCTGCATCAATTTTCCCAGTATCAGTATCAACAACAGTTTCCTCCACTACCTCAAGCCCAGAAGTTGCTTCCTCATCGGCATCCGGCCACGCAACAGGCCAAGCCTCGCCGTCGGAACGAACGTCCTTCTTACCGGGGAGAGACCTCGACATCATCGCACGGCAGGAAGGAGAGACCAGCTACCCCTGCCTCGCAGCCTACAGTCAGGTCAGATCCTCTCAGCCAGTTAGGCCCGCGTTGCCTCAACATTCGCAATTCGAGCTCCCGCTCGCCGAAAACCAGTTCGAGGTACTGACCGCAGATTTGAGGCAAGGCCTCTCAGTTCGCAGCTACCACTAGCAGTCCGAGCCCCTCCCTGGGCCCATTGTGATCGGTAATACAAAGGCTAGCAGTACTAATGCTAAGCCAGCAAAGAAGCAGCGGAGGCGTTGCCGAGCTCACTGAGCTGCCACTCATGACCTGCCCGATCTCAAGGGTAAGGAAGAGGTAAGCTCGGGTGAAGTAAAAGCTACTCAACTTCTCTCAGTTCCATCCCCCCTATCTCCAGAACTCCTTGTTGTTCCTATGCCCAAGGACTTTAAAGTTCCCCTGTTGGATAAGTATGACAGATCCTTCAATCCTAATGACCATGTTGACACCTTCAAGTCCCAGATGCACTTGGCGAGGGCCAGCGAGTCTTGCATGTGCGTGGCTTTCTCCATCACCTTCAAAGGGGTGGCCCGCACATGGTACCAGAACCTTGCACCCGGATCAATAAGAAGCTGAGCGCAATTCATGCAAGTCTTCACTTCTCATTTTGTCACCAGCAAGCGATGCCCCAGAACCCAAAAGAGCCTCCTTGGCATTGTCCAGAGGGAGGGAGAGTCCATCCGGAGTTATGTCAAGCGGTTCAATGATGCTTGTTTGCAGATACCCGACCTGGACCCCGCAGTTCGGCTCACTGCGACCAAGAGGGGCATCATGCACAAGGAATTCAAGTGGAAAGTGGTTGTTAATCACCCCAAGACTGTGACCGAGTTCCTCAAGCTCGCAGATCAGTTTATAGGGACGGAGGAGGAGATCAATCAGAAAGGAAAACAGGCCCTTGAGAAAAGAAAAAGGGAAATAGAGCCCTCAACTCAGGGTGATAGCAAGAAGAAGAAGGACCAAGCTCGGGGTGCAAGGCCAGGTCAGCCTTTCCGAGCTCCAACGGCAGAGAGGACGGACTACACGCCCCTGAACGCGAAGCGGGCCGAGATCCTTATGGCGATCAAGGACGCCCC